TAGCTCAGTACAAAGGCTCTGGGTTCAATCTCAGTATGGGGGAAAACCCTGGTAATTTTAATCACACAGAAAATCACACTTTTCCTTTTCCTCTCATCTTACCTTTTATGCTTTAATGTCACACTTTAAATCCTTTTTATCTTATACACCACTCTACAGCTTGGTGTGGCTTTAGCTTTTAGCCCTTCTGTCTTTTACCTTTTCCTCGAGAGTTACAAGTGATGCATATGCTCCCACTGCTTCTGCATTTGACTGTATGTCTCTCCTTACCAGTAAGTCTGCTTGTGCATGGCCGCACTCTTCGTGTTGGTGCTGAGCTCTGTGTAGTTTCTCTTCTTGTCACTGAGCTTTTCTAAGTTGCTTGTTTGGGATCCTTTGCAGGTGGCGTGGAGGTTTCCGTTCTTTAGGTTCAGTTACTGAGGCTGTATTTGTTCGTTGCCTTTAGTTGTGCCGTGTTTGCCTGATTCTTTATGATCTGCTCTACAGCCTTACAATGGAGTCTGTGCAGATGAAGAGGCAAACACCGATCTTTAGAGATTGGTTTTGACAAGTACATAGTGTCTTGAGTCCCGAGCGGATAGGACTGCAGCTGTGTCAGGTGATGTGGGTTTATTGCCAGGGACTTGGGTTCTTTCTGCTCCCTAGAAGACTCACCTGCCTGGAGCACCGTGGTCCATGGGATTGGTGCTGGGAGAAGGGTCTGCTTTGGTTCTGGTACCAGGTGTGGCTCCCTCCAAGTCCCTGGATGGGCTTTGGGGGAGGCAGCACTGCTCCTGGACCATAGCTGAGGTCAGCAGAGCGGCCTGGGCGCTGTCTGGGCCAGTCTACATCTGGACCTGGGCTGAGGGCAAAGCAGAACTGGGTTTCAGGACCGCTCCAAGATCCGCAGTGGGGCCGAGGTCAATGGGCTGGACTGCTGCTGTCAGAAGATGGTGATGGGGGTGGCTGAGCTGCAGGGCATTTGAGGATTTGCTGTGAGGCGATGGTCAGAGTGTGGGTGGCTGTGCTCAGTGGGTCCCCAGGAAGTCAAGCTGCTCTCAAGCCACCACCAAAGAGGCTTTAGATGCATTACAGGGCCTGTTCAGGTTCACAGCTGTGACTGAAGCCAGCAGAGCTGAAACCAGAGGCAGATGGCTCTGGTGGTTGGACCAAGACCAAACAGGTTCTACCTAAGTCCCCAGGGGAAGGAGGCCACTTCCGGGCCTGTCGCCCCAACGCAGTTGGGGAGCCTGCCCCCTCAGTGAGGCCACACTCCAGAACAGGCTTCATCGGCCCTGGGCTGCACCAGGGCTGTGAGACTTCCTGCCAGGCACACAGCACCACAAAGACACTTCCTGATGAGTGGTTGCTAAATTCTGGCTGCTGTGCAGGGAGAGGCACCAGTTAGAGACCTCTTATTCTGCCTTCTTGCTTTTTACTACTAATATTTGCATGTTTGAAAAAGGTAATGTATCATACTGTGTTTTATGGAATAATGCTGTGCTATATCACCTGCTATGTTAGCATGTGTTTCAACATAATTTTTTTTAATTGTTCACAAGTTACAGAAATAACAACATCACAAGACAGCAGCTTAAATAAAAATGAAGTGGTTTCTGGTAGCATTAGCTTGGTGTCTGATTTTTAATGTTGCTTTTTCCCTCCCAGCAATTCTTTGATGTAGAGGAAGAAGAAACTACTTTGCACGATGCAGAAAATGTCAAATTGGGTGTTTTGTCAAGAAAACTGAGGGAGAAAGAAGAAATTATTAGGGAATTAAGAGAAGAACTAGATCAATGTGAAGGATTTCAAAAAATTGTAAGTTTCAAGGCAAAGAATAATTAATTTTGATATATGTAAATAGAGTCATAACTAAAAAGCTCAGATTAAGGATCAGTGAAATTGAATTGATGTATCTTGGACATTTCTCTGTCATGTAAGCCAATCTGACACTCTACTGTCCAATGATGTATTTTCTAAACCTAGAAATTATGAATAAGAGCAATATAATTGTTCTCAATTTTTACATATGGTAGAAATAAAATAACCTACCTCCCACTGCAAAAAAAAAAATCACACTCTAGAAGAGCACAAAATGGAATTTTGATATAATTCTCAGGACTTCTACCTTTTGTGCAGTCGGGATAGCTTGAAAGACACGAACCCAGTCTTCTCAAGTCAGAGGTTCCCAAGAAGCCAGCTTGGGACAGAAGGAACAGAATGACCTTTACTTAAGAATGTCAAGGGAGAAATTCACCCTACTTCCGATTTTCCCTATTGCAGTAGAATCCAGAAGCTGCTTTAATGTTTAAACAAAAGACAGATGGAATCAAAAAGGGAGTAAGGAGAGTAAGGAGAGTCTAGACTTTTGTCCTGGAGGGGAATTTTTAAGGGCCTTTGATTACGTAGCAATTCACCCCAAGCACCACTGGGGCAGAAGTCATCTCAACCAGCCCACTCTTATATTGAATACATTTGATAAAAGTATTGTTTTTATATTTCTGGTTCCATTATCTTTAAAAAGCTAATGAAAATGCAATTTTTGGTCATCCTATGTTTAAGTAATTAGATTGGTGAGTTTTAAAGCATGGGTCTTGAAATTTAACTCACTTTATTCGCATGTTAGCTCTGAGGTACCAGCTGCCTCTGCCCCAGCCACAGTGCAGAGCCAAAGCTGGCTTAAGTCTTAGGTTCTAAGAGCAGAATGCTGATTGGAGCCCGGGGATGTCACTCCATGGTAGAGCACCTACAGTGAATCTGATTAGTTAGGACAGGCTAGCAGGATGCCAGGACCCAAGAGGAATAAAAATTACTAAATACCAGCTATGACTGAGTCTCCATGTCCAAAATGCTTGGGACCAGAAGTGTTTCGATCTTATGCAAGGTTATAGGTTCAATCTTATACATATATAGGTTCGATCTTATACAGCTGCCCCCTCTAGTGGCACAAAATCCCCATGAGACTCCATCGAATTCTTATCTGTGATTCTATTTGGAACACAGAATTTTCGGAACATTTAAAAATTTCAGAGTAGCACTGGAAGTAACCTGAAAAAAAGAAGTTGAAATAAATATGCATTAGACAACTTATCTAAACTTACCATGCTTAGATATCCATATCTAATTATTCTTATCTAGAATCAGTTTACACAAATAGCTTGTTTTAGTTAAAAAGGAGTCATCATATCTCTCCCGGATTGTTTCTGAGAGAAATATAGTAATAATGTAATAGGAAAGGGCAAGTTCAATAAGCAGCTTCTTTAGAGTTTATTTCTGATGAAATAGGAATCAGGAAAGGGGGCTCTTGGAGGTTCAGAGGCCTTGTCTCCACGGAGAACACCCTTGGCACTCAGTTTTCTTGAGAGCAAGTTCATGCAGGGGATGAGATTCATACTTTTTATTCTGTAGAAACCAACATCCCATCAGAGGGTGTCTGTGTGTCTTTCTGTGTGTGTGTGTGTGTGTGCACGCACGCAGGTGTACATGTGGCCACATGTGTGTTCACTTCTGGTTTTCCTTCTGACCCCAGCACGTGAGCTGCCTGACCAACACGCACCCACCCTCTAAGGGTGGACGTGTGTGCTTGTTGCTGACAACTCTGGAACAGTGCTGTCATTCAGTGGCATCTCTGCAGGGCTGCGCGGCCCCAGCGTGCCGCTGCCCTGGCTGTCACTCAGGGGAAAGCACCTGCTCTCCTCCATGACTGTCACGGGCCGAGCATGCATCTGAACCCTCCTCTTCCTCCTCCTGCTCCTCCTCCTCCCCTGTGCAAAACTGAGATGACCCAGGACTGTACACGGAGCAGGATGGTGTTGCCCACATTGCAGAAGGGTGAGATGCTACAAACGCACAGAAGGAGCCCTGACCCAGGGCTTCCCAGACCCCACTGAGTCACCTGCGGATCTGGGTAGGACCCGGGCTTTCCCTAGTCTGGGTTGGAGCCTGACCTGCATTCCATGCGTTCCCAGGTGACGAGGCTCCTGCTCCCCGAACCATACTCCAAGTAGGAAAAGTCTGGATTCTACTCCTCCTACAAACGATTCTTTGGACATTCAGCTTGGGTCTCTGAAACCTGGACATCAGAACTCTGTGCATCCTGTGACTATTCACAAAGGACGGACACTGTGCATTCTGCCACCAACTGAAGACCTAGTCTTCATGATATTCTAGAAGAAACTGAGAATGGCAATTTCCTGTATGATTTTTAAATTCCAGTCTAATCACAGATCACCCACCATGTCTTTTAGAGCATAATGTGGTTTTAAATAGCTGCACCCAGTTAACTGCCTTTTAATGATCTCTGTCCTACTCAACCTTGTTTTATTAATGCAGTTTATTTTAAAGGAGCCTCATGGCTTAAGCAAACCAAAAACTGGCGGCGTGGGCAGATGGCAGAAGAAACACCACCACAAAACCTGCCACTCAGAGTGCAGCGGGCCGCACAGCCCAGAGCTGCCCCTTTGTTCCTTGTGCTAATGAGGGTCCTTGCTTCGGGCCGCTGAATCCTTAATTACTTGCAGTTTCTCGAGCTGACGGACGGTGGAGACAGAGCTAAAGGTGTAGGGGCCAGGGCTGCCGACCGACCTGCGGAGGAAAGGCCCTTCCGTGGCTCTTCCCTGGGTCGTGCAGAAGGACTCTTGGGAAGCACCTTTAGGACTTAGATAGATGCTACCCAGTGTGTTTTACATTTCGTCAGATTCCCCCAAATAGTTCTGTCGTTTATGAGCACGGGCGCTCGTGTCCCACCCTGTGGCTTTCCCTAGTCGGGCACTGTGAGGCGATGCTTGCCTGCTTAAGCCTGTTAGTGTTAGTGTTAGTGTTCGTCTGTTTAAAAACTTTTAGTCCATGATCACATTCTGTGAACAATGCGGGACAAGAAATCGATGACGGGGATTCTTCCTTTATTAACACAATAGACTTTTTAGTATTCACGAAGGACAAATTGGGCTCAGATCACTGAAAGGCTGTGCTATATCAAAATCTTAAAGCTTCGCACCTGGGGTGGAGCTCAGTGGTAGGGAACTTGCCTAGCTCTCCTGAGGCCCTCCCCCCAAAAACCTTGAAAATTAGTAAATGAGCTTGGTATGAAACTCAACAACATATTATAAACACTAATATAAATATATATATATATATAAAATTTCATTAGTAAGTCACTTGTCTTGTAAAGGATTAACTAGTGTATTCTAAACCATTTCAACCATGCATGTTTCTTTTAAACCTATATAGCACAGGGGAAAACGTTTTAATAATTTCTTCACCTATATTTCTAAAGTGAAATAAAAGCAGAGTTCCAAAAGCAAACCAATGTATTGGAAGAAATATTTTGTTTTTAAGGGGATGTTTTCTTCTTGTTTGTAATAATGGAATCATTGTACAAGGAATGGACTATCAGTCACCTGAAGACTAAAGCTCAAAAGTATTTTTAGAGCCTATAGTAATTTGGAACCAAGACATGTTGAATTTTTTCTTTTAGCATAATAATGCAATGATGTGTTGTTATTTTTGAGGTTGTATAATCCACTTACTACTTTACTATGATGAAGTATAAAGTTCTACACCAGGCCTCCCCAGCCCCATTATATCTTAATTTTGTTTTTTTTTTTTAAGAAAAAAATGTGTGGCAGTAAAATCTAGATGGGGAGTATTCAGATGGCCTCAGTAGCTTTTAAACAGACAAGAAGAAGGAGGAGGAGGAGAAGAAGAAAAGAGTAGCGGTCCCAGTAAGCTTCTATCAAGCCTCGCCCATAATGGACATGGCAAGATTTAAACAAAAGACGCACATAATAAAAATGTAAATGAGTTTGCTTTACTAAAACTATAACTTTAAAGTCTTTTGTTGTAAGTTATCCTGAAACCTTCTTACAAGGTAATCACTGTTTGCATAGAGATTTAAACCGAGGTCTTCAATAGCGTTCGCCGCCTGCACAGTCCCCGGGTGACAGGCATGCAAAGCCATGTTAATGTTCAGAATATGAATTGCCTCTGGGTGGCTCCTCCACCCAGCAGAAAACCAACTGTGTGGATATCCGCGCCTGACGGGGGCCGTGCGGCTCCCAGCCTGGAAACGTCACCACTTTGACATGCGAAGTGCTCCTCGCCACGCTGGCAGCGCTGACACCGGGAGATGCCACAAAGGCAACAGGCCCCCCTCCTCTGCCTCGCGCTCTGCCACCCCCTGGCGCTGCCCGTCCGCGGTCTCCCCGGCCTGCCTAGTTACGGCGGACAGCACTTCAGAAACACAGAGGGAAGGCTGGGTGGAGGGCCCAGCTGCCTCCCTGGACACAGCCTCCATAAAGGAGGGACCTGAATGACGAGGGCACACAAACAGTATGATATGCATTATTCCTGTCAATAAAGTGTCCCCATGTGTTGAGGTCTTTGTGCAGAATGTACTGCAGCCTTTCTTCCTGCGAGCTCTATTTAGCCTCCTTCCTTTTTGCTATTCATATTATAAGTGTGTAATAGAATTCAGAAAATTATATGATAGTGTTTCTGTATCGCATTGCCCTAGTGCTGCATATTTAAATCTTGGACGCCCCACTTAGAGGTACGGAATTCCCTATCTTTCAGGACTCCTTTGCCGAGACCAGCTCCTCCAAGTCAACCTTAGAAAGGGAAAATTGGGAGTACAAAAGAGAAAATGAGAGACTGCTCAAAGTCGTTGCAGAACTTGAAGAAGAAATCAAACTCAAAATAAAAGAAAATTCAGCAATGGGTAATTCTTTGAAACCTTTTTTTTAAAGAAAAAAATGGGCACATTGCAAAATTCACTGCCACATTAGCCATTTCCGCAAGTGTATTAGTTTGGTTTTGCACACTTAAAGATTGGTTTGATAGCTGTCTCTGCTTTTCCTTTAAGAGAGGATTCCGCGCTTAGAGCACAGGACTCATGTAGTTGTACTTCTGACCAGGCCACGGTGATTTAGAGAGTTTTATTCAAGCCAGACATTGACCACTGCATAACCATGTGCTAAACAATGTCCCACTTCCCTTAGAAATATTACTATGAGAAAATTTTGCTGATATATTGCATATGCTTAACAGATAATCTAAACTGTAACATTTGCATCCTGAAGCGTACATGCTGGGATATGCTCTGTAGAGAAACACTGTTGATCCTTCAGCAAAAATGCTTACTACTTAATTTTTGTCTGTTTTTGGATACAATTTTTGGCATAAATTTTTATGTGTACACTTTATACCCCCTTTTTTCATACCACAAACTTCCATAAGAGTTGCATTTAAATCGCCAAAGTTAAATTTCTTTGAAGGTCTTTCTTCACTTGATGACTGTCTTTGTGTTTATGTTGATTATGTGGTGCCTTTAACCTGCAGTGTGAAAAGCAATGAACAGGGAGTAAGAAATTCATAGTAAGACATGGACAAACTCAGACACAGTGTCCACTGGATATGAAGCTATACTTCACCCGTGCAATGCTGTGTCTCTTCCGATGTGGTATGCTAACACTTTTTCAGGTCTGAGTAGTTCTTCTTGAGTCCTAACGTGTCACCTGCTGAAGCACTTGGTTTGGCTGTGACTAACAGCAAAAATGTCCTCTCCTCGTATTGGTGAAAAGCTTCTGCCCTCGGCCACACTTGGATCTTGAACTTACTTCTTAATCCCTCTCTGACCAGCCGTCTGAACAGCAGGAAGAAAGCTGTGAATGTCAAGGGTGGTTGTGAAGGTCACAGTCCTGCTAGCGCTTGCGTCCACTGTGCCTTCCAGGGTCTCCACAGCCTGGCCCGGAGCAGGCGGTTTGAATACTGGGGCATACGGAGGTAATTTCATGGTTGGCCTCTCTCTCCTTTTGTCTGCAGAAGATGAACTTATAAGTCTGAAAGAGACTTCAGAGCAGAATCAGAGAACTATTCAAAAGGTACTGTAACCTTCTTACATTGATAAATGACTTTTTAAAAATTGAAACATTGGCATCATTGATGGAATCACCCTGTGCCTGGTGTGCCTTAGGATGAAGGGGAAGTTGGCTTATATATTTTCCAGTTGTATAAGTGCATTATATTTCCTTGTTATTTGGGGTAGAGTAGCCAATAATGAATAAATTCTGTCTCACGAACTCCTTGGTGCAGAAATACTTCTTTTATGTGGGATAACTGAGCATCTGCCTTGTGGATCATGAAGAACTCGGAAACTACAAGACACAAGAAAGGCCAAAGATGTGCTTGTCGTTGGGGAATTATATTTTTAAGAATGAATAGCCTCATTTTCTAGTCAGACATTGGGAGATGTTGGCTGATGTTGGTTTTTCTGTACATGAATGAATTCTGCTTGTGAGATCTGGCGAATCTTTGCTTAGAGCGGGGAATGATTTTATCATCACAAGAAGGGAAGATTTCTTAGAGCACTGAATGTGGCAGAGCCGTGGACTTCTGGGAGTTCTCTGAGGGACCCTGCTTGTGTGCTCTGGTGTTGTACTGCCCTGTGTGGGCCTCCATGTGTCTGTGTTGTGGCTGTGAGCTCCGGGAGGGCACAGGCTGCCCGATCCCAGCCCCTGGATATATTCCCGGTGCCACATCCGGGGCCTGGCACCCAGAAGGGTACTCTCTGGGGGACGAACAGGACAAAGACGTGTGTAGACTTCATAAAATTTAGATGGAAAAGCAGATTCACATCCCCAGAGTATTCCAAATATACAGAAGTGTTTTCCAGAAATGGAACCAAGTATCAAGTTGTAAATTAAAATTAATTAAAACTAAACAAAATTTAAAATTTTATTCCTCTGGCCCCTGAACCACATCTCAAAATCATGGTGGTAACATGTACCTGAAGTGGGGTTCAGGTTTCAGCCAGGTCTTATTTCGCAGTTCAGGGTAGGCTGAGATTTTAGATAATTTGTCTTTTTCTGTGCTTGGAATGGAATCCAGGGCCTTCTGTATGACAGGCAGGCACTCTGCCACTGAGCTACATCCCTAGCCTAAGAACTAAAGCATCTTTTTACTGAACTAGTTACCCCGGTAGATCAGTTTTCTGATCACTGAATCCTAAACACAATCATTTCACAAAATGATTTCATTTTCTTGCATTATACCCCACTTGCAATGATGACAGTGTAAATCCCCCTTTTAAAGATGTAACAACAGAATCTGTGAATAGACAAGTTTAACCTTCTTGACATCAACTTCTAAGTTTAAAAATGGGGATGGAGCTCAGTGGTGCTGTGCCTGCCTTGCAAGCAGAAAATCCTGACTTCGATCCCTGGTACTGGAAAAAAAAAAGCAAATCTCGTCTTTCTAGTTTCATTTAACCTACTAGGAAACCCTCATCAATTTACTTGAGATGCCTTTTAAAGCTATGGCAATGAATTGTATGAGCTTACTACTCTGTGTGAAGAGTGCAGTAAGAAATTAAGGCAGGAAATCTCGGTGATGACCATTTAGGAAGAAGCATCCCTAGAGTGGCAGCTGTTGCCTGCGTGATGTGTGTGTCAGTCAGGCGCTGCCTCAGTTTCCAGATCTGCATCTCCTAGGGTAGCCACTGGCCTCGTGTGGCTGCTGAGCATTTGAAGTGTGGCCAGTGCAACCGAACTGAATTTCTAGGTGTTTTAAATTTTAATTTTAAAAATGATACTTGGTTCAGCTAATGAAAAACCTTCATATATATTTTAACAACTTGTGTGTGTGAAGCTACTTTTTCATCTGTACATTTTTTGGAATGTAAAAGTGGATAAAAAAAAATTAGCTCCCAAATCAAAGTGTGTGCTGAAGAAAAATATAGACTAGATATCAAAGACTTGATGTAAAGAATGTGAAGTATCTCACAAATAAGGTTTCATACTGACTACATATTGAAATGATAACATTTTAGTTATATATTAAAATGAATTATTAAAATTACTTTGATTTTTTTATAAAACTACTATAAAATAAAAATGTTATCTATGATTACATTTTGTTTCTATTTGACATCTCCATTCTAGACAAATAGAGCTGATCCTTAACTGCTTATTTTTTTAATCCTGTCTTTCTTTTTTATTGATTTTACTTTTTATTTTTTGGTACTGTAGATGGAACTGAGGACCTTTCGCTTGCCAGGCAGGCGGTGGCACCACTGAGCTAAATCCCTGGTCCCCTGTCTTTTACTTTTTTTTTTGGTCATAACTGGAACTCCACACCAACATTAAATATAGTTCTATTTCGGTATGCAGCAGAGAGAATCTAGAACTTTACGGTCTTGTCACATTTCTGCCTCTGTGTCTCGTACAGTCCTGTGGCAGTCTCTTTTCCCTCCTTCCTGTTTCTCCCAGGCTTACTGTGTGGATAGAATGAGAGAGTACTATATATGTGAAAGTGTTTTGCCAACTGAGTAGGAAATCATATGTTATTTAACAAATGAAAACTGAGATTTGCTAGTTTGTTCCCATTATTTTTTAGAGTCAGTTAAGTGCAGGTACCTTTAAGTGCTAGGCACTGCACTACTGGTAGAAGAATGGGGGGGGCTTTCTGTGAAGGATATTCAGGCTAGAGGAATAGACAAAAGCTATGAAGCCAGTGATATGGACTGTATGAAGTGTATATGCAGAGAAGAGATATCTGGAAGCTTCTGGAAACTTCTGGAAAGGATCTATAAACTCTTCCTCACACTCTCCTCTTGGGGAGCCCGCTTGTGCTGACTTGTACAGGAAGGCAAGAGTGCAGCAGAACTGTCAATAGAGCATGAAGGCTTAAAATGTGAGATATCTTCATGGAACTGTTTGCAACTTGGTGTGGTGGAGAGTGGAATAGGAATCTGGTGAGAAATTGTAGGAAGTCAGGAAGACCTGGGGTGTGGGGATGAGGCGGGAGGCAGCAGAAGCTTTTGGATACACCATGTGTTCCTTTTTATTACCCCTGGATGAAATAAAGAACAAGTTGAAAATGGGTCTGAATTTGGGAAGGCTGACTTCTTGCCATGTATTAAGCACTGTCCATGGTGGAATTCAGTGGCTGCTTTTGTGTTTTCATTTCAGCAACATGGTAACACCTCTATCTGTGTCTGGCAGCAGCTGGCACATTTCAATCATGAATCTTATTCTAGTAGGGAGACAGGGCAGGAGTCGGGTTCTGTAGGTGTGAGGCTTGCTGTGTGGTGTGGCACATCCCTGGGCTGGATCGAAAGAAACCAGGCTGCAGGGAAGAGGATCAGAGGGGCTGGGGCAGGGTCCAGAAGGGGTTCTAGGCCTGCGGGGAAGCAGCTTGCTCAAGGGAGGCTGAAGGGTACATGAGAGCCAGGGCTGGCACGGGCCAGGGACAATGAGAAGATTTTCATCACTGCCACAGGTTCGCATTACCTCCTGAATGCACCGCGGAGCCTTGATTTGTGTCCTAGAAAGAAATGGGAGGGGGATGGCGCCAGAGAGACAAGTTAACAGACAAACTAGGGAAACTATGAAGTCCAGAAACAAATGGACGCGGCGCTGGGGATGTCTGTTACATTAATGAATACATGAATTAAGTGAATCGATGTCAAAAGCAAGGCTGAATTTTACCATTGTATATAACATGTTCAAATAACAGTCATCTAAAACACTGAGACAAGTCACATGGGTGTAACAAGGAGGTGAATAAGATGAGGGCTTGATACACATGTGAGTATAACACGAAAAGCCGAAATAAGAGAAATGGTTCAGACAAAGACTAAAGCAAAATTGTTCTCTATGACAGGCTAGGACTTGCTTTATTGTGTATTGATGTCACATTTTTTGTTTGTTGTGTTTTTGGTACTGGGATCGAACTCGGGTCCTTGCATTTGCAAGGTGGGCTGTGGGACCACTGAGCTGAATCCCCGGCCCTGATGTCACCTTTTTGGAGGGTGGTGTGAGGAAGGTTATAAATACATTGGCATTCTCTCTGTAAGTTTCCGTGTGTGTAGACTGACTATAATATATTGCTATAACACAATAACCTGCAGAAATTTAATCTTTTCTTTGGCCATATTGGGATCCCTTTTTCTAATAGCAAAATAGGTTTTAACCAAACAGTAATGAGGAAGAATTTCTGGTGTTCTGTTCTTTTCTTTAATCAAAGTGTCATATTATTTTTTATTTCAGTTAATGGATAGTAGAGACAGATTACGATATGAGCTTGATTGTGAAAAAGTATTAGTCCAAGACATGGTAAGATGACTTCTGTTTTTCCTTATTGAATTAGTTTTGAAGAATTTAATTCCATCATGAAAGTTTTATATGCTTTGTTTGTAACTTGCTGTGGACTATTCATTCACCTTTATCAAAAATCTGTGTGTATGCATAATTACAAACATGTTTCAATAAGCATTTTTTGAAAACGGTTTAAGTAATATACTTAATAAATATACTTAGGGAGTAGAAAACTCTTATATAAGAAATAATATTACCATGTAAAATAGTGTACAAAATCTTTTCATTTAGTTGTGGTGATTTTTTAAAAACCCAATATAAAAGCCCAATATTTTGAAGGATTTGCTAGTTTTAGTTACAAATTGCCATCAGTGACAACAAAAAAAGAGCCCAGCTAGATATTTTGGCATTCTGTGTTAGTCTCATAAGAAAACACTGCCTTTTTATGTTCTTTTAAGAGAACTTTCCAGACGGCTGGTCTTTTATTTTATCAGTTGACTCCCCACCCTGCCCCCACCCCTGCCCATCTCACTGTGTGCTCCCAACTGCCCACCACTAGTATGTCTTTGTTACAGTACACTGACTGTGTGGATTATAATAAAAAATAAAACACAGCTTGACTTGCGTTCTAAATGTGTTTGAAAAGAATATGATACTGTGTGGAAGAGAAAAGGTTGTTCATAGGAAATCAACACCACTTCAGATATTGAAACATTCGCTTTTTTATAGCTTGTCACACTCCGTGCCAAGCCATGACTGTTTCCCCAACTCTGTTTTGTTGAGCCCAGCACCCTGTGTTTTGGGTTCCTTGTCATAGAAATTAATGCAAAACAATGCTCCTGGATTACAATAAAGCCTTCTATGAAACCAACTCGGGAATGCAGGCAACGGGGAAAAAATTATAGCCGGCTATTCACAAAAACCTTGTGTTAACAAATATGTTATTCTGAACCCTTTACTTTTAAATACCGGGCATATAAAAATAGTCACTGTCACTTGCGTCTTAGTCATTTTATTCTGTCCCATCCTCCACCGTCCTCCATCATCTCTGCAGAGTCCACGCTCTGCTCCCCCCAACCAAAAAAACAAAAAACTAAATGTGTTCATATTATCTTTAAAATCAAAAGTTTTCTTACAGGATAGAAGCAAATGTTATGTTGTGAGTTTGTTAGCAGAAACAGTGAAGAAATCACACTACCCAATGAATTTGTGCCTATACTAGGAGCAGACTTCAGACCCTGTGAATTACTTTGCCTCTTTTTCTTTTCTAACTGTAAGCATTTAATGGGTGCTATTATATTGCACACAGGGGAACCAATCACATTTTATATTGTTGTTTAAGAAATTTGTTGAGCCCCAAGCTTGTTGCCAAGTGTCGAGAGCCTGTCTCACAGACCCCACAAGAGCTTTCAGGATGCGTAGAACTACTTTGGGGTTTATGTTTTGTATGGAGGGAGTGAGCTGAAGGTTCTCATTGTGACCAAGGTTCCCCTGGTGCACCTGCCCTGGGCTAAGCATGGCCACTATTTCCTGTCCCCTCTCCCCCAAAGCTTTCTGTTGTGCACTGGGAGGGAAGCTGGCCTTGTTGCTCTTGACTCCTATGTTTTGTGCTATGCTGCTCTTTTCCGTAAACTAGGATAAACAACAGTGGGAGAATGTGAGGCTGACCACAGATATTTCATAAAAATGTAAAACTTTCTTGCTGAAAGATTTTTGTTCCACGTTTGCCTATTACTGTATCCCAGTACAGTACGAGTTATGTTCTGGCCTCTTGAGACTCTAGTGTAAATCAAAGGTCAAAAAGCTGGTAGTAGAAAGTTACCATCAAGGAATACAAATAAATATGCAATGAAATATGGAGCAACTAGATCCTTACTAGGGGTTTTGGCAGAGCGTATGAAATAATTTCGTATCTTTCTAGCATTCCTGGGCTGAGTTAGTCTAAGAAGCTGGCAGCTCAAGAAAGAGGGAGAAAGAGTCCCCACAAAAAAGCACCATGTTTGAATTCTTTCCTGGACCTGACTTCCACCTGCTCAGTCATGGTGTATGGGGTTTCTCCGACAACCCAGAGAGAGGGAGGAGGCGCCAGGGTTGCTATGGCCCCACACGGGGAAGCAGCACCACTTTGCCCCTGCAGTCTACCTGCACCCACGCGTGGCTTCCCGAGGCCTGAGTCCCCTGAGTTGAGCTTCCGGTCTTCTGGGTCCTATATCCCGTGATGTGTCACTGTTGGGCCACCCTGATGGGCAACAGGTGTTCCCATCACTCTGCACTACCTGCACTGACATTGGCCTTCTGGGGACAGCGACCTGCAGCTCAGGCCAGTGTAACAGGAGCCCTGCCCACTGCCTGCCCAGCATGTCCCACACAGCCCGATATCAGGTCATGCTGCTCAGCCTTGGTGATTTATAAAGCCAAAGAGGAAGAGACAGACCTCAGAGTGGCAGAGCTCCCTTGACTGCGTGTGTCCAAAGTTCATCGGAGAGACTCGCGGACCCTTGCAGCAAAGCACCTGGCTGAAGTCAGCAGACAGCGTTCTGCAAACTATTGGGAGGTTTATCCTGAGCTCCTCAGCAGTTTCTCCTGGCCAAAGGGTGCCCCTTCAGCTGGCGCCTGGTTGATGCCCACTCATCCTTCAGGTCAGACACCACCTCTTCTGGAAAACTTCCCTCCCCTGCAACTTTCTCAGCCTGGACGAGATGCCCCCTTACATTCACACACAGAGCACCTGGTTTTCCCCTCCTGGATCTCATCAGTCTCCGTAGAGATGTCCTGTGGATTGGTCTCCTGTAAGTATCTGCTATGACTCAGTGAAAGAATGAGTAACAAAAATGGTTGGGTAAAAATGGCTTAAGCCACAAGTGGCATGACCAATACACAATGTAATAAAGCTAGTCATACTGTTAATCCACAATTTCTAGATCCTCTCCCTGTAGAGTTCTAACTTTTTGCTGCTCATCGTGATTTGCCCAGGACGCTTCTGGTCTTGGCACAGGAAGTCCTACAGCCCAGAAATCCCTCAGTCCTGGGAACTGAGACATTTGGTCATGCTAACAGCTGGAGAAACTGGAAGCCTCTTTTATGAGTTCCGGGATTCTAAATGTATATAAGTTCATGAACCAACTCCATTGTAATTAAGAGGATTCTGAGGCAAAAATGGCAATGCTATGCAAAAGAAGGTCCAAGCTTTTTAATATTGATCACCCTGATATTGATTCCTGAGAGAAAGAAAGTGAGCTAAGCATTCAACCCAGTCCCACTGAAAACATATTACAAACGAATTGGTAAAGGTTCCAAACATTGAAAAGGAAGTAAGGGGAGAGCAGGTCAAACATCAAATACAGAGGACTGCCTAAGAATTCCAAGTTCAGTTTGCCCTACAGGAATTTACCAGTCTGCGCTGAATGAAGTCACAGTCCGGAAGGTGAGGTAGGGGAGGTAACCATGATCTCTCCTACTAGCTAGGGCCAGAGACCACCTCTCAGAATGAAGTGAATTTGAGTCCATAGCAAGCCTGCAGCCTCCCCAGTGCTAAGAAGGCTGCAGGGGAAAGTTGGCTCTGAACCAAACAAAGTATGAGGAACGGTCTCTTCCTGAGGGGTCCTGAGGATACACAGGCTTCTTGTGAGTTTGCAGCTGAAGTATCCAAGGAATCTGAAACATTCAGTTTAGTTGAACAGCAAGGACCCTGACAGAAGCAAATGGAAATGCTCCCTGGAAGAAAATACTTTCATCCTAAGCCTGTGAGAATCCTACTATTTTCCCTTACCGTGATAGGAACAGTGACAGTCACACAAAGACAAGGGAGCATGGGTGGGAATAAGGAGCCACAGTGACAATGTAGATCACCCCCATGGACTGCAGAAATTGGCATTCCCTATGGTATTTACTACTTAGGGCAGTTTGTTTCCGTGGTGGAAGCGGGACTTGGCTTTCATCGAGAAGATGGCAATGTGTGTCTTGATGGATTTCAGAATTACCGTGGGGCAGTGATTGCTCTATTCCCATTCTTACCTGTTTTGGAAAAGGCTGGCTCCTCTAGGGATGATCCTGTGTTCCACCTTGGAATGCTGGTTGTGTGGGGGTGGATAACTTGTCTCTAGTTTCTGGGTCTTCAGATAGAGGCCATCCTGAAGGAGGCTGTACCTGGACCCGATTTTGATAATGAGATCTCAGACTTTCAGTTGATGCTCAGTAGGATGAGTTTACTAAAGAAAATGAACAGATGGCAGTCAGTGACTAAATGTTGGAGCCAGAGAGCAGACAGATGCAAGAAAAGCACTTGAGAAAGTCCGGTGTACATTTGTGATTAAAAACAAAAGCTACCAGCCAACTGGAAGAAGGGAACATCTTCAGGATGATAATGCTTAGCACAGAACACAACCGCTCCACGTTTCCTAGTGAGAGACTTTTAAGCCAAGACTCAGAAATGAGGCAAGGCTTTCTGCTCTTATCACTTGTATTCAACATTGTATTTTAGGTCCTAACCGGTGCAGTAGCACAAGGAAAAGAAATCACTGTCACCCAGTTTAGAAAAGAAAAAAGTTAAATGGTTTTATTCCAGATAAAATGACCATCTTTATAAAATATTCTAAGAAATTTACAGAAAGCCACTGGGACAAGTAAGTGAAGTCAGCAAGGCTGCAAAGTTCAAGATACAAAAATCACAAATCTATATAAAAGCAGAAAGAATTGACGTTTTAAAGAATAGCAGTCTTGATAGCATCAAAAGTGTGCAATAAATATATGCAAAACTTGCACGCTGAATAACATAAAATACTGAGTGAAATCAAAGAGGTAAATAGGAGGGACATATGCCACATCCATGATTCAGAAGACACCTTGCAGAACTGTCAGCAAGCTCCAGACTGACTGACACCTTCAACAGAGTCTCAATCGAAGCCAGGTTTTTCTGTTGAAATCAACAAGTGCGCCCTCAAATTTATACAGACATTCACAGGCTCTTGAATAGCTAAAACAATTTTGAAATAGAATGAAGTTGGAGGACTCACACAGCC